TAGGGGGGCCTTGAAGCAGGCCCACGCATGGCTGAGACTTGAAGGCTGGGTCCGCAGAGCCCGGGACGCAGGGCCATGTCCAGCTGGCTTTGTGGATGGGGTGGCCATGAAGGAAGGAAGGAGGGAAGAGAGGAACGGGCCAAGACAGGAACCTCAGCTGGACACCAGGGTGGTCCCTGATGCTGACCTGGCCCCACCCAGGCAGGGGCTTTGGAGGCTTCAGGAACAGGGCAGCAGGGCTGACCCCTGCCTTGGCCCAGGACCACAGCTTTGGCCGTCCCTCCTCGGGCCCCTCAGCAGGTTCCCCAGGGCCTTACTGCCCTTGCCACCTGGGCTGGGGCCCGGCAGTCTTGGGGACACCTGGTGCTCCTCAGACAGCTTCTGCCCCTGTGCCCAGGGCACCCTCCCCTGCTGCCGCCCTGGTGGGGTGGGCTGTCTAGACTGCGGCGGCTCCTCGGCCCACCAGCTTTTGTCTCCAGCATGCCCCAAGCAGAAGACGGGGCTGCAGACAAAGGGGTATTTGCCTCCCCTCCCCCAGCTCAGTGGCCCCACTCTGGCTCCAGGCCAGCCTCAGCCCCGGGCCCACCCACCCGGAGGGACGGACGCCAGAGAAAGGCGGCTCTGACGCTCAGCTGGGGGACAGGCCCAGGAGCTGTGGCTGCAGTGTGGACGGGGTGGGGTGGGGCACAGACACTTCCCACTGGGTTACAGGGGAGGTTTCGTGGAAGGTGCCTCTGGCCATCTTGGACACAGGACAGGACTCTGATAAGTGGACGTGGGGCTGGGAGGGTAGAGGGCCCTAGTGGCTTTGACTCTGCACCCACCCTGGTCCCCCATCCACAGACGCCTCCTCTGCCTGGTGCCCAAGGTCTCACCCACTGCCTGAACTTCTCCAAGTCCCCCCTCGGGCCCCTCTCCCAGATCCCAACCCCTGGGAGCCAGCCCAGGATCCCCCTCTCTGGGATGCCCCTTCCCCTCTCGGCCACGCTGGGCCTAGGACAGACGGAAGCGCAGGTGCCCCAGCGGCCGGCCACCTGCCTGGCTCTTCCTGATCCCCCTTGTCTCTGTTTCTTTCATCCAATTTCCTCACTTATTTTATTGTCTTTGGTCCTGTACTGTTTGGGATGGGGTGGACTCTGGCTGCGAAGCTCCCAGACTCAGTTTCTTCCACTGTACACAGCGATCCCCTTTCTGGAATCTGGCCATATAACATGTGGGGACACTCGATCCCCAGGTGCCCCTGGCACAGCTGCAGACTCTGCCCTGCTGGTGCCGAGGCCCCTCCCTGCCGGGGTCCCCAGCTGCCCCTGAGCAAGCTCCGCACGTGGGACATGCACGCGTCGATGGTTTGTGATGACGGCCCCTCTGAAGGCCAGAGCAGGAGCGTGGAGTGGCCGCACCTGCCCTCCCTGCCCCCGGGGCCTCCCTGCAGTGCGGTGGGAGCTGGGCAGTGCCACCCGCTGGCCTGGGAGCGGCCGCCTCACCTGAGCCTGCCTGGCTCCACCTGAGACAACATCCTGGCCTCGATAAAGCTGATTTGACGCACCTGAGGCACATGCAGCGCTAATCTGCTTAACTGCCGAGTCCACAGCCGCACCCAAGAGGAGCCCCACTGGGTGGAGATAAGGGGACGGGGTGGGGTGGGGGCTCGCTTGCTCCTTCCCTTAGGTGGCTGCCTCATGTTTTGAGCCCCCTTTCCCTGCTCCCTGCACCTGCAGGGGTCATTTTGGGGTGGTATCCAGTTGCAGGGCAGATGTGCCAGGAGATGGCCTTTCGTCCATAGCAGGGGCCATGCCCCAGGCTCGGGGGCCCATCTGTATGAGGGAAGACACAGGGTGTCCTGGCTGCCCTTCTGGAGCAGCTGGACAGAGTCCACACATCCTGGGAAGCTTGCTCCACTCCCTGGGCTTTTGATGGGGGCTGGGCTCACTGTCCGCTCCCCACCGGGTGGCCAGCTCTGAGAGGGGTGGTGGGTTTTTGGCCTGCTCTGTTGGGACTTGCTGGTGACTCTGGGCCTCAGTTTCCACAGCTGCACATTAAGAGTGTTGGGGCAGGTGCAGCATGCTCCTTGATCCCCCTGCCAGGGGCCAGGCCCTGGGCCAGCATGAGCACTGGGCATGTGCAGGGAGGGGGATAGGCTTCTGTGGCTGCCACAGGCTTGCGTGGTGGGTGCTGGGGGCACCACCTGGGCTCCCCAAGGACCAAGGCTCTAGGCTGCCGTGCCGCAGGTGCTTGGCCGTCCCTCCCTGGAGAGCTGCCTTGGCCAAGGTTCTAGCCCTTGTCCAGCAGCTCCAAGAGGAGCACAGGACCCAGCTGGGGACGACCCACATGGCTGCCCAGCATCAGAGCTCCTGGTGGCCCACGGCATCTGCAGCTCATCTCATCCTGCTGCCCCACAGGTGGTGTCCTGGGAGCCCCCACTGACCCCATGCCCAGAAATCTCAGGCAGTCTTCACCTCAGATGGCCCGTGTGGCTGGACAGTGGGGTGTGTATTGGCCTTGACAGGCCAGGGGGCACCCATGTTAGAAGGTACCCTCTGAAGGAGGTGGGAACAGATTGGGGGTCAAGAGAGGAGGCTTGGGGAGGGGCTGTGGATGTTGGGCCCTGGGCTGAAGTGGGGGATGGAGTAGCAGGCATGGGCCTTGCTTCCCTGGGGACTTTGGGGGAGACTGGGGGAGAAAGGCCCCAAGCAGGCAGGCGGCCTTCTCCGGCCCAGCCTCCCGAGGCTCCCCCATGTCCTCTGTCCCCTGCTCCCCCTCCTCAAAACTCACGGGCCAGCCCTGCCTCCTGCGTGCACCCGGACCCTCCCCAGCCCACCCGCACCCAGGCAGGGCCTCCTCGGCCGATAAGGCTGTCCGAGCTTGCGGGTGTGTCCTGGAGGGCTGGGCAAGAGCAAGCCGGCCGAGGGTCTGCAGGGGCCGGCTCTTCTCTTCTCGTGGCGCATGAAAACACGGTGCCTCTCACGGCCAAGGCACCGTGGATTCAGGAGCCCAGTGAGGCGGCAGACAAGCCCCAGCCCCTGCTTGAATAAAGAGGGCTCGGCTGGCCTCTGGTTGGCAAGGCCTGGGGCACCTCTGGGTTTCCCTGGATGGCAGGACGACAAGGCTGAGGAAGCCTGGGGACCCGTTAAACTCTCAGGTCATGGGTATGGACCCTAGTGGGCCCCCAGAGCCAGGGCCCCCAAAGAGCGCTGCGTTGCTCCAGCCACCTCCGGCCTCCTCTTCAGGACACACAGGGCTGGGATCAAGTACTGACCGGAGCTGGTCTCTTGCTGAGGGAAGGAGTGAGGCGTGTCCCTTGGGGAACAACAGGCCAGGCCCCCCCAGCATACGAGTGCTGACTCCTGCCTGGGGCCGGTGTGGGACCAGGACTGCTGAGGGCAGCCTGGGACCGGGTGGCTACTGGCCACTTGTCTGTGGGAGTGAAGGATCTGGGGTCCCCAGGACAGCCACCCCCGGCTCTGCCTCTAGCCTGGCATCCTCGCCCAGGGTGGGGCGGCCGATGAGGGGCCCGTGCACTCTGGGACCAAGGTGCAGCCCTGCTCCTGAGCAGCTCCAGGGGGATGGCTGTGCATCCGTCCATCTGTCCATCTCTCTCCAGGGCAAGAGTCCTCTGGCTCCCAGCAGCAGCGGACTCTGCCCACTGGGGGCTTATTCCTGGATGTGGAAGTAGACGGGGTAATACTTGGCAATTCTCTGTTTACCAGGCCAGCGGTACTATTTATTTGTTTGCCCTGAAGCTGTCAGAGAGGAGGCCAGGTCCAAGCATGGTGCCGGGCTCCATCCCAGAGGAGGTGTGACAGGCCTGGCCGGGGACAGGCCCCCTTTCCAGGCGAGGGTTTCCTCAGGTGAATCAGGCACAGCTCAGCATTCAGGGACCCAGGATGCCCAGTCCTGGGGGAGCCTGGTGCACCCCCCTGATCCAGGCTCAGGGACATCTTCTGACACAAGGTGCCGTGGACCAGAGCCCGCCAGCTCAGCAGGGTGGGGAACAGGACCTTCCATCCTTGCATGGGCATCATGAAGGCCTTGCTGGCCCAGGCGGGCAGAGTTCCTGGCACAGGGTGGGATCCCACCCGTCCTATCAGGCTGCTAGATGAGTTACCCGCCCTGTCTGCCCTGGGGACAGTTCTGTCTGAGCCTCGGGGACTGTGAAGAGGCGTCAGGAGGTGAATGGCAGCCCCCGAAAGATAAGCCCAAGTCCTAACTCTGAAACCTGTGAGTGTTGTCTTATGGGAAAAAGGGTCTTTGTGGGTTAGTTAAGGATCTTAGACGAAATTGTCCTGGATCATCCAGGTGGATCCTAAGTCCACTGGTGAGCGTCCTTGTAAGGGACAGAAGGTAGAGATTCTGAGACATAGCCACACAAGGGAGGACGAGGCAGAGACTGGAGCGACACGGGCACACGTCTGGGAGTGCCAGAGCCACCAGGAGCTGGCAGGGGCAGGAAGGGCCCTCCCCAAGCGCCCCCAGAAGGAATCAGCACTCCCAGCTCCTTGGTTTAGGCCTCTGCCTCTGGGTTGTGAGAGGATAAGTTCCTGCGGTTTTCAGTCCACTGGCTTGTAGTCATTGTTACGGAAGCCCCAGGACCCTCATACAGCAGCCGATGAACTAGCCACCTGGCGGTGGCCTGGGGGGTCACTAGAGCTCACACGCACGTCTGAGTCCTCTCCTAGGCACGCCCCCACCCCCACAGGGGAGCGGATAAATACGTCCTGCAATGGCCACCACATGGTGACCGGATCGAGGGGGACTCATCCGCCATGGCCCTGGCCACACCCACCGCCACCCGTCACCACAGCCGGCCCGTGTCCACTGCGGGTCAGCTCCTGGAGGGCTGGGCATCGCCGAGGGTGGGAAGACCTGGCTGGTCTTCTGCCTCAACTTCCCTGGCTGGCAGGCGGGGCTGGACCCACAAGCTATGACTGCCCACCTGCTGTCTGTTCATCTGCAGCCGCAAACTCAGTCGTCTGAGTTCACCTGCATCCATCTCGGCTCACGCCCATCACCCCGTCCACGTTCACCCATTCACTTTCGTCTGCGCACGTGGCAGAGCGTGTGGAGCCTGAGCCGTGTCCTGCAGCCCCCCTGCTGGCCAGACAAGGGCCGGGGTTGCAGGGCGTGGCCGGCTGCGAGGAGGAGGCTAAGGCCGACAGCCTGCACTGGGTGGACAGGACAGGTCTGCGAAGGACCGGAGGACACAGGGGCGGGAGACGCCTGGACGAGGCCCCTGAGGCCACGCTGCTCAGTAGGGGCTGGAGGCTGGGCTGGACAAAAGCACCTCCCACCCTGTCCCCCCACCCAGACTGAAGGGCAGTAAAGGAAGAGGGGCCATGTGCATCTGGGTCCCACCAATACAGCAGGACTGCTGGCCCTTAGGATGACCCCAGCAGCCTCAAGGCTCCATGGGACCCCTCCCCACTCTTCCCCATTCCCCCTGGTGTGCCCCTGCCCCTGGCTGCCTCTGCTCTGGGGAATCTGAAGTGAGCTGGGCACTCAGGTCAGAGGCCACTGGTGCTGGGGCCAGCACGTCATCCTGAGGGTTGGCGACATCGGCAAGGGGATTGTACCTGGGGCAAGTGCCCGTCAAGGCAGAGCTGGGTCCCCTGGGCTTGCCAAAGTGGGTCAGCTCCTGCACAGAGCCCTGCTCAGCTGCAGCCTGGCCCACACTGCCGTGGACACAACCGTGCTGAAGTCCTGTCCCGGGGGGCAGCACGCTGCTGGGTGGGACCTTCCGTGTTTCTCGTGTGATCTCACGGCACACGTGTGCTCACTCCTTATGACAATTCAACTCTTTGTACACCCATGTTCACAGCAGCGTTGTTCACGAGAGCCAGGAGAGGGAAGCCACCACATATCCATGGATAGATGAATTTGTAGACAAAATGTGGCCCATCCACACAGTGGAACATGACTCAGCCTTAAACAGTGAGAACATCCTGACACACGCTACAACACGGATGAACCTTGGGGACACTGTGCTATGTGAATTAAGCCAGTCACAGAAGGACAAACACTGTGTGACTCCGCTCATATGAGGTCCTTAGAGTTGTCAGATCCACAGAGACAGGAAGTGAATGGCGGCTCCCGGGGGGCTGGGGAGCTGGTGACGGTGGGGACAGGGCTTCAGTTTGGGAAGGTGAGAAAGTTCTGGGGTGGACGGTGGGGACGGCCGCACAGCAGCGTGAATGCACTGAATGACACTGAGCCGTGCGCTCACAGATGGTCAAGACGGCCAATTTTTACCTTTCTCTTTTTCTACTAACATTTTTTATTGTGGTAAAATAAACATAATTCGAAATTTATCGCCCTCACCATTTTTAAGTTCCACAGCATTAAGTGCATTCAGGTTGTGCTGCCATCACCCCATCCACCTCCTGGACTCTGTCCCTCTGTGTGTCCAAGTGGAGACTGAGGCTGGTCTTTGGCTGCGGGGATGCTGGATGCTCACAGTCAGCTCGGCACCCAACCCCGCGGCCCGGATGTCATGGAGGGTCGAGTGAGAGGGTGGCCTAAAACCTCGTCCCACGTGCCTTCAGCCTTGTGTCATGAGTGGATGGGGGAGGAAGGGGCACCCCAGAGACTGCTGGTGCGGGGGGGAGAGAGAGAGACAGACAGACAGACAGACAGAGACAGAGAGAGAGACAGACAGAGACAGAGACAGAGAGAGAGAAAAGGAAGACAGGCTCCCACTGGCCCTGCTGTGGACACAGACGTCGTGACCCAGGCCGCCGTCCCCTGCAGAAGGACTTGACCTTGTGGCCACCAGAGCAAGAGGACTGGGGACTCTGGGGCTACAGTGGATGCATGGAGGTCCGGTTGGCTGTGGGTTGGGACCGTTCCTGCCTTCCCTCATTCAGCACACATTTACGGGCCCTGACTACGTGCTAGGCTACCTGCCCTGGGAGCGCCCTCTCGGTGGCCTGGGCAGAGCCCTGCCGGCCTGCCTGCAGCCTGCTGACCCGGGGCTGCGCGCGGAGGGCCGGGCAGCGCTGGCGTGCTGCAGGGCTAGCGGGTGGCGGCTGCTCCTGCCTGGCGGGTCACAAAGGCGCTGTGTGTGCCCTCTGGGCTAATCCAGGATCTCTCCCTGCTCAAGATTTGGCAGTTCCGGGTTCCCTGGGGAGCCTGAGTCATGGGGCTGCAGCCCGGCCTGGTTCGCAGGCCTGTGGGCCGTGTACCTTGGCAACGGTGCCAGCAAAAGACACGAGTATTCAAAGAAAAGGAAAATATCCTCTCCCACTGCCCTCCTCCCTGGAAAAACAAATGCCTGGGTTATCAGAAGTTCTGGCCACGAGAACGTGTGCCAGGTATGAGCGGCCGGGCCCTTGGGCGAAAGAGGAAACACTGACTCAGAGCCAAGGCCACTCACCAGGGCACCCGCGGGTGACCAGCCCCCTCTGCGGCTGATGCTCCTGCCCAGGCCCAGGGGAGCAGGGGGGCTGGGGGCAGCAGGGGGGCACTCTCAAAGCATCAGGGGGCCTCGGTGACTGCCCTCGGGGCAGCAGCCTCGGTGAGGAGGCCGCGATCACCTAGCCACGTGCCAGGGCCATGGACACGCCGTCCTCCAGCCGTCTCGGAGCCCCTCCAGTGCTGAGGGCCTTGGGGGCTCTGTCCGGCTGGCTGCCCTGCGGGGGCGTTCCAGTGTAACTTCTTCATCCTCGTCCCACAGACGCCGTGACGTGTGACCCTACGTGGCCGTGTCCGGAGCAGAACTGCAGGGCTGGCTGCAGACTGAGCGGGAGCCCCCCTGACCACGGCGATTCTGCATCTCAAGACGGCCAGGCTGAGCTTAAACCACTGCGTGTCCCAGCCCGGCTCCACGCTGGGATGTGTGACCCTGAGAGGCACCCACACCACACGTCCCCTCGAGTCTCCCATGCCCCAGCTCTGGCCCCACCGTGGCCGGGCTGTGCGTTCCTTCTCTTTGTGAAGCAGGGGGCAGGTGGGGGTGCGGCACAGACCCCGCTCTGGGCCTCGGCGAGGCTGCGCAGCCGTGGGGTCCTGAAGCCCTCGCCCCCGGCTCTCTCCCAGACCCAAGCTGTCCCTCCCGCTTTGAAAGGACGCTCAGAGTGAGGCGGTGCCGAGCATGGTTTGGAGGGAAAGTGCCAGAACGCTGGAGGAGGGATGGCGGGGAGGAGGGTCCCTGCGTCCATTTGCGCCATCAGCGGGCAGTTAATAGAGCCAAGGATGGAAAAGCGTTTGCCCCCAGTGGGCCAGAAATCAAGTGATCGCTGGGAGTCAAAGGGGACCCCATGTGGCTGGGTTGGGGCCGCCTGGCCAGTCTTCCTGAGTGACCTCAGGGCCCTGCACAGCGGGCCTGGTGCAGCCGGTGCTGAATGAGGGATGGGGCCTGGGCCGAGCCAGGCTGACCTCATCTGGTGACGAAATCCCCAGAAGCCTGAGAGGCGGGCACCTCAGCCAGGACCCACAGCCAGCGCCTGCCCTGCGGGATAGGGAGCCCCCAACCTGCCCCAACACATCTGACCTGAGCCCCAGGAGCGGGGTCCGCTGCCTCGGGAAGGTGGGGCCTTGAGTGTCGGGGGATGGCCACCGAGCGCGTGCGTGGCAGAGCCCACCACGGGCCAAGGCTCCAGGCACGCTCGGTGCCGGACAGGTGGCTGTCTGTGCAGCAGCTCACAGCCCTTCCCCATCCTGCTCACCGGGGCCCCTGGGGGACTGCCCACCCCACAGCCCACCACCCAAACCCCCTGCAGAGAGGAGGGACCCAGGAATGAGAGAGACAGAGACAGAGACAGACAGACAGAGACACAGATACAGAAAGACAGAGAGAGACAGAGACACAGACACACAGAGACAGACAGACAGAGAGAGACGGAGACACACAGAGACACAGACACACAGAGACAGACAGACAGAGAGAGACGGAGACACACAGAGACGGAGACACACAGATACAGAAAGACAGAGACACACAGAGACAGAAAGACAGACAGAGACGGAGACACACAGAGACAGACAGAGACACACAGATACAGAAAGACAGACAGAGACAGAGACACACAGAGACAGAGACAGAGCGAGAGAGAGGGAGGCGACTGCTCACAGGGACTCGGACGCCCCGTCACAGCAGCCGAGAGGGCAGGCAGCCCACGCGTGTGGACCGGCGAGCGGATGGAGAAGACGTGCTCTGTCCGTGGCCCTGGAGTTCTGCCGGGGTCACGGCCGGGCAGTTCGTGGCCGGGGTCCGCAGGTGGGTCGTGGGGTGGGTGTGCAGAGGCATGAGTGGACTTGACACTACTGAACTGGACTTAGGATGGGAAATGTTGTCACTGTTTTTTTTTTTACCACAATTAAAAACAATTTTTAATGGAGATGTAAAATATTAAAGTAATAATGGAGATAATGTTTTCCACAATAAAAGACGAAAGGCCTGACAAGGACACGGCTCTGAGAGAGCCGAACAGGACAGCCTGGACGCCCGACATCTTGACATGACACGGTGGCGGGAGGACAGGCTGGCTCCAGGTGCCGACAGGAGTGAGCAGTGACAGTGTTCCCACGCAGGGCTGCTGCTGGTGTCAGGGGAGCGACCACGTTGGGAAACTCCACAGTTTGGTTGAGTCCTGCTTGGGGATGATAAAATGTTTTCCAGAAACTTAGGGGCTTGTCGCATCCTTCTCAGGGCTACACTTATTTTTGGTACCAGGGGCTCCCATGTTACAGGTGCCCGGAACAGGGCGCCCGTGGGTGGTGTTTGGGGCACAAGGACGTGAGGGCGTCACTGGGCATGCTGTCGGGCATCTGGTTTGGCTCGCCACATGCACTCCACAAGGGCATGGGCTGCCTCGAGAGTGGAGTGACTCCATTCCTGTCTCCTTTGCTGGAGGTGGCATTGTGCAGGGTGGCAGGGGCACGCACGTCATAGAAGTCCCTGTGCTGTCGAGAGGGACTTCCACAGCCAATGGGCCTGGTTCCCAAGGTGGAAATGTCATGTTGTGGTCCCCCTCATGAGGGACGCCCTTACTGGGTTAGCCGGAGATGAGGACCACAATGACACGTCCAGCAATTAGAAAGACCTTCCCCGTTAGCTGTAATAGAAGACACGCCGACTGTCACACTGTTCTCCCATTCTGCACAAGCCACTGGAAGTGACAAAGGGAGGGTGGTCAGGCAATAGACGTTCATTTTTATTATGAGAACAGGGGTCTCTAATCCCAGCACGGACAAAATAAATTTTTACCAAGAGGAGGTTTGGCAAAATACTGGAATGACGGATGACACTCGGTGCCACCAGGAAAATTGCTAGATGTCAGGCCATCACCACATCCCTCATCCGGCTCCACGGCAGTCTCTTGGGACATTTTCTTTTCTGAATAGGTATTTGAGACCTTCCACAGGTTCACACAAGTAGGTAGGTTGTCTCCTTTCTCCTGGGGCTCCTGTAAAGGCTTGTAAGAAACAGGTTTTACCTGAGAAAGGTGGACCCACCTAGGTGGCCCTTTGCCTGCAAGACCTCAGCTGCCTTTCGTCTCCCATTCCCCATGGCCCCACGAGTGTCTCTCTCTCAGTGCCACACGACGTGACCTTCTGCAGCAGCTAGCATCTGCTCCTTCCAGCATTCCTGGTCTTGGAACTGCTCCTAGGGCTACCTCTGCCCCCTCCTGAGGACAAACCACTGCCAATACCTCTCACACTCCAAGATCTTCCACTGCCACCCCCTCCAGACCAGCCATCCTGTTGCAGCAGAAACCTGACCTCAGAGACACCCCTGCCTTGTACCTAGGTGATTGTCCAGGGACAAACTGCCCCCTGTTCCCTCCAGACATCTTGGGGACTCATGGCTGCCTTGGCCAATCCCCAAAGCACTAGTAGCTGCCCAAGCCCTAGTGACCCTTGGACAGGAAAAGATAAACCACCTGGCTCTCAGTTCCATTCCTGCCCTCACAGACGGAGCCCGGGAGGATGTGTCTGGGCTCAGAAGCGCATTCCATCGGATGCCTCCACGAATACGAATCGCTGCCCATTAGCAGGCCTGAGTGTGAGCTCCCCAGATCAATCCATCCTCAGGTGCCAGTTCCATTTGTTCTCTGGCTGCCAGAACTGTCACCTGGGGAGCAGCGGGAAAGTGGGGGAGACACAGAGGCTACGACTCCCTCCCCCAGGCCTGCAGGGCGAGTGGGGTAAGGTGGGGAGGATCGCCTGGGAGCTGATGCCTCCTGCGGAGACCGAGCCTGAAGCGCTAGGACAGGTTGGGATCGCGGTATGGCCAGTCAGGAAGCTGGCTGAGTAGGAGCTGGCTGAGGCACCGGGGGCCGGGGACCAGAACATGGGAAGTGAAGAGCCGGCGGGAGGGGGGCACGAGCCGCGAGGGCTTCACGCCTGGAGCCGGGTGCCAGGTCTATCCGAGGCTCCGTCGGGTCTCTGCTCCCTCCTTGCTGTTGTCCAGCGCCCTGCTGGGGGGTGGAGTGAGCACAGCTTCACTGAGGTCTTCCTCGGTTTCCCAGGGTCTGCAAGTCTGCAGCTTCAGGCTGGCTGGAAAACAACTTCACATCCATGCAAGTAATGTCTTTTCCCATAGCAAGGTTCAGAATGTCAAAAACCATGGGAAAAGAGGGCACTCAGAGAAATGCGTGCCAAGGAAAAAGCCGTGTCCTTTTAAAGTGTGCCTGCAGCCCAGGCGGTTTTAGGTCCCAATGTGGCTTCGGTCCTGTTCACTCCAACAACCTCCCCGCTGTCAGTAGTTCCTCCATTTCTACGGAACAGGACAGACAACTCATCTTACCGCTTCGAGCTGAGTCGGGGTGATGAAAGGGTTGATTTGGAATGGAACCATTTGACCTGATGGAGGACGCAGCTTTTGGTACCTGGCTGCAGTGGCAGAGGGGACCAAAGGCATTTGTTTATCGATCATCTGAACAGTTGACTGACAGCAGGTGGCTTACTTAGAGTTAAAGCTGTGCGCTCATTGATACGGCATCCGTTTTAAGAACTTACAGCAACCCTTTGTTTAGGAACAAAACGTCTCATCCAAATCACAAGCCATGAATACTTTTAGAGAGCTGCGTGTACAGGGAAGACATCTCCCCCACTTCTTGATCAGGACAGTCCCCATGAAAGCATCGGTGATCAATTTTCCGATTGAAAAGGTCTTACTTTTCTTTGCGCTGATCCCTTGGTGCGGGGAAAGCTCATTCCCAGGTAGACTGATCCCAGGTGGGTGCGGTGGGAGGGGGCAGGTGAGAAGCAGTTAGGCCAGACGAGGGTAGCGTGCAGTGAGGTCAGGAACGTAGCAGAGACACGCGATTCTATGTCCGATGTTTCCAACTGTATCCTGTTATAGAGAGAGCACATTGTCACTGATCTTATGCAAATATCCACACTGCCATAAAAATTATAAAGGTACTCACAAGAAGTTTCAAATTTTGGAGGAATCAAATAGGAAGAAAGCCAATGCTTCCATCTGTCTTCATAAATTAGA